TTCTACATGTTGTATTGCATAGTTTGTACAGGCTTAAATTTTATCAAATGGCTTGGCAAAATCAACCAACAGTCCACATTTGGGTGAAAAGAGCGATATGAATGGACCTTGGTTTTGAGCGGCTTGGCTGATATGTCGTCCCCCAGCGTGAGCGTCACGAAAGGATCGCTGGTGGAGTCGGCGCCGTCGCCGTCGAGCGCTTTCAATCCTTTGCCTTCCAGCACGCTCACAGCGAGGACGTTGAACGTCCACGGTGCGGGAGGTGAAGCAGCTGGAGCGGCAGAGCCGTCGCCTTCGACCGCAGCGGCCTCTGGACTGTCCGCGGAAGTCGATTCGTCCGAGGTACTGCTCGGCGCATGACTCAACGGGGGAAGGGCCGCGGTCCCCACGCCTTGCGTCGGGTCCAAGAAAATCTCCACAACCAACTCCCCGCTGGCCGCCTGCGGAAGTTTTGAAATTGTGAAGTGTGGTGGAAGTATATTGGGTCACATGGAGGAGTGCTCCTACCTTTTTCATACTCGTGTGGGTTTCCAGCGGCAACGTCAGTTTGTTCTACAAGGTCATGATGACTTGATTTGTTCATGCTTGAAAAGAGAGCGCACCCATTGACTCGGCAGGAGAGGTTCCAACGCCACGGTGACCTCCCCGAGATCTTCAGCCGGGCCGAGCACGTTGTGGTCCTTGACGCGAAAGTGCAACGACGCCGTTGACACATCGAGGAGAACTGCTTCCCCGAACCGAAATTCTTCGTGCCATTGAGGGTTCAACGACTTTTTCACTTCTTTCGTCTTGGCCGTCTCGGTCCCGCATGTCAAGCGCACATCTAAGACACGGCGGGCGTGATCACACATGGAATGGACTGCATGGCAGGGTTGCTAGACGTACATGGATCCGACGAAGGTCCCCCACCAAAGGTGTTGCTGTCCAAGGCAAGCAACTTGCTCGCAGACACGACCTTGACACGCAGCAAAGGCATCGTCGCCCTTCCGTCACCTTGCTAAAACGAAAAATGCCTAATATTCAAGCACTATGACATGCGAACGTCAGCCGATACGTCCTCTACCAAACGACGAAATGCATGATGTCATGCACTATTTTAATATACTTTAATACAATTAATCAATAGAAATGAAGATTTATGTTTAAATGATAACGAATTAAGTGGTCGTGACTACCATTCACCCAATCAAAGATGATATTTCAATCGTAAGATTTGTATGCATGTTTCATCGTTCCAATGACCTACCTACTTCAAGGACGCAAGGTACTTTTCCAAAAGTTGGAATAACTATTACTATTAATACACCATTTTTCAATTGACTTGGACATTTTCTCGATGGATTCGGTTGATATACCATTGGATTGAATGACGTGCCCATTCGAATGAATGAGTGCCCAATGGATTTGGTACCCACGTTCGGTGTGTCCATTGGATTTGGCCCAACCCCCTCGTGTGCCCATTCGATATGCCCATGCGCCTTAT